TGTTATTTTTATGCAAAATACTTGAATGTTTTTCCAATACTTCTAAATTTATTTAGTGTTGTTTGGTTTTATCTTGTCTCCTTATTTCTGAAACATTTTTGCACCTGAGTTACTTAAACATACCTATTACTCATAACGTCACTTATTTGAGACATGAAATACTCAGTGTGTTTTCCAGTATGCTTATTACGTCATTTGTCGTGTTTAAATATTTGAGCCCTCTGGGACTTACTTTGTGTGTATGACTTGCGTGGTCAGAATTTACTGACTTAAGTTTCCACGGAATGCAGTGTAGTCTTGACCACATCCTCACTGGCTATGCAGCTTTTGCTGAAAGTGGCTTTGGTAAGAGGGCACAGATGGGCCTAGAAGAAAGTTGGGGATCCCGACTACAGTCTGGTGGAACAAAGACACTTTGTCAGGCGGCAGGAGGGCCATGTCCACCCTAAAAACCGGCCGGGGCTCGGAGATCCCAGCCCCTGCGGAGCGGGTCCCTCTCCAGCCGCGGGAAAACTAGCCACGGAAAAGGCCACGGAAACTAGCCACGGAAAAGGCTAGTCACTCCCTGCAGGCTGAGTGACAGACGCTCGGGAGACCCAGAGCAGCCAATCCCCGCGGGGTGGGGCGGGTTTTCCGCCGAACCCAGGGGGCCCTGCATCCCGCCCCACCCTTTCAGCTTCTTCTGACAGCTCATTGGTGGGCAGGGCCCCGGAATCGCAGCACCAATTGGCGAGTTGCTCCCACAGGCTATTCTGGTAGGAAGCTCGCCCCAGCGCCCGAGGGCGGGAAGCCCAGGATCTCGGAGAGGTGGTCCAAGGTGGGCAGCGCAGCAGGGGCCGCCGCCGGAGACTGACCGGTAAGCGGGGAGCCTTGCCACGTGGAGCCCTTAGCCCGAGACCTTCAAAGTCCAGCCTGAGAGACCCCAGATGCCCTCATCCTGGGGGGCCACCAAATGCCTTCAGCATCGAGGGGCCCGCATGCGCCAACCTGGAGGACCCACATCTCCTAACCCCCAACGCCTAGACCCCCAAACAGCCCGAAAACCCCAGCTCCCCTCGGCTCGGGGCACCCAACCTGCAGCTCGCCCAGAAAGACCGAATCTCCCCAAACTCAGAGACGCCAAATGCCGTCGTCCTGGAAACCGACTCAGTGGTGGGGACCCTGAAGCCCCTCGATGAGACGCCCCAAATCTCCTCAGCCGCAGGGTCTGACCCTCCCCCCAGGCCTCAGTGTCCTCAGCCCGGAAGACGCAGGGTCGGGTCTGAGGGACCCCAAGCCTGTCAGCCTGAGAGACGGCGGTCTGCCGGGGACCGCGCCTGCGTCTCGTGCAGGCCCCTCCAGATCCCCGGGGGCACCTCCGGGCCCTTCCCCGGGAAAAGCACGTTTCCTGCGCCGCTACAGGCCCGCCCCGCCTGCCCGCGCTGAGGCGGGGGCGCCTGGAGGGAAGGGGCGGGAACAAAGGCCCCGCCCCCGCGGCTCGGCCCATTCAGGCCCTCGGTCCCCATCTCCTGGCGCCCCGCCAACGGGGAGAAAGGCGGGTACCAGAACCTGAGGAGAAACTGCCACGTGCACACCAGCCTCGGTAGCGCGCAGGCGCTGGGCCCAGCCCTCCTGACACGAGCCTGGTTTAGGTCAGGCTGCATCTCAGGAGATAACCAGGGAACAGGGTTTGCTTGTCCAGTGAACACACAGGATGCAGAACAGTGAATCGTACGGTGAGAGGCTATTCTCATGAACTTTCAAGTGTGGAAAATCATCTTATATACTTATAGACACATTGATAACCAGTAAATGTATGGGAATATACAAGTGAATAAGAAATAACTAATTCAAGGCCCTGGCTGGCATAGCTCAGTGGATTGAGCGTACGCCTGCAAACCACAATATCAAAGTTCGATTCCCAGGCAGGGCACATGCCTGGGTTGCAGGCCAGTTCCCAGCAGGGGACGCATGAGAGGCAACCATACATTGATATTTCTCTCCCACTCTTTTTCCTTCCCTTCCCCTCTCTCAAAATATAAATAAATAACATATTTTTTAAAAAAGAAATAACTAATTCAGAAGAGTTGTTCAAGAGAGGGAGGCAGGTCTGGCCGGTGTGGAGTGTCCCCATACCTGGCTGCCACATGGCCTGCATGGAGACAGACGGGGAACAGTATGACGTGATTATGGAGCTGCGGAGAGGGCCAGGGTCGGAAGTGGCTGGTCACTGTATCATTTCCTGATATCAGCTATAGTGCCGTTCTGTCCTATATCATGAGTGTTTGATTGGTGGGGTCAGTCCACTTTCATGGGTCTCGGGTTGAAACACAGGTGAAGTCAAGATGTGATCTTTAACTTGACTGGAATTCTGTTTCTGTGATCAGCAGACTGTGGATGCCAACCAGAGTCTAATGATAAGGAAGGGCGTGGATGGCCAGTATGTGCACAGGGGGGAGGATACCAGAGAAAGGAGGTGAGGGGTTGGTAGTGCCGTTAGCCTGGACAAGGCCAGTTTGAATGAAGACAACAGAGCAGAGAAAGGGTTATGTTGAAGACATGGAGTTTCTGTGCAGTTACTTTTATTACATTTTTGTCAGGGGTTCCCCGGGAGCATTAGGGGCAGTGGGCAACACCAGAGCCTGAGGGCCTTAAGAATCATTGAGGAGCTGGACATGGATGTAACAGGTACTGGGAACTCATCACCATGGTTTTCTTTCCCTTTAACTCAATCCCAGATTTGTGAACTGTGCCTGGGATGATGAAGAGCAGAACTTGGTGGCCTTTCAATACCACGGGCAGATTTTCTACCGAACCTGCCAGGTTATCAGCGGGGGCTGTGAGCTGCTGGTCTGGTTCGGGGACGAGTATGGCCAGGAGCTGGGCAGCAAGTGGGGCAGCAAGTGGAAGGGAGAGCTCACAGCTGGGAGAGGTGGGCACCACTGTTCTTCAAAATGGAAAGAAAAGAGAGAATTCTTTGTAGAAATATTCATGATCCAACTCTTAAGTAGAGTAAAATCCACTCTAAAGTCAGTAAAGTTTCAAATTACATGCTTCAGAAATTGACAATGTATTCATATGCCTTTAACTCTTAGGCAAAATATTTATATTAATATTTTTAAAATACTTCATGCCCAAAATATACAACTGCTTTTAGTGCTAAAAGGCTGAAGGACAAAAAAGTTTTTAAGCACTAACCAGCTCTCTCACCAAGGCAATTGTTCTGACATTTTTATAGCTGTTTCTTCTTAATTTTCCTCCATTCTTCTAAATAAAACATTTCTTATAGGCATTATTATTTTTTACAAATTTTGCCCTGGCTGGTGTTGCTCAGTGGATTGAGTGTCAGCCTGGGAACCAAAGGGTTGCTGATTCTCAGTCAGGGCACATGCCTGGGCTTTGGGCCAGGTCCCCAGTAGGGGGTGCTCCAGAGACACCCACACATGGATGTTTTTCTCCCTCTCCCTTCCTCCCTCCCTCCCTTCCCCCTTTTCTGAAAATAAATAAATAAACTAATAGGTCAAATCTTTTTTTTTTAAAAAGATTTAATTTAAGTCCTGGCTGGGGGCACATGACTGGGTTGCAGGCCAGTTCCCTGCAAGGGACACATGAGAAACAACCATACATTAATATTTCTCTCCATCTCTTCTACATTGATATTTCTCACCATCTCTCCTTCCCTTAATCTTTAAAAAAATATTTGATTTATTTTTACAGAGTGGAAAAAAGGGAGAAAAACGTCAGTGTGCAAGGGAAACAATCAGTTGTCTCTGGTATACCCACAACTGGCCCACAACCCTGGCATGTGCCCTTGCTGGGAATCAAACTTGTAACCTTTCAGTTTGTGGGACAACACCCAACCCACTGAGCCACACTGTTCGCACAGTACATTCGTTCATTATTTCAGTGAATTGTCAGGTGAGGTCGTGATTCATGGCACACAGGGTGGTGGGACCTAGAAATACAGATTAACATGAAGAGAGAATCACTGCTCTTGAGGAGCTGACGGGTGAAGGAGGGAAACCCAGGCACACGAGCTTGCATGTGCATAACACCACACAGTGGTTAGTGCTTTGGAGAAAACTAATTCAGGACAAGTGCCTGGGGATCCGTGTGAGGGGAGGTGCACTGTGGCAGGTGGTCTGGGAAGGGCTGCTCAAGAGGTAACATTTACAAAAATACCTTTGGGCAGAGGATCCCAGGCAGAGGGAGGAGCTAGTGCAGGGAAGAAAAGAGGTGGGGTGTTGAATGTGCTGAGGGTTAACTCGAGTCTCATCTCAGCATAGAGGGTAAGAACAGAGATCAGACAGATACTTAGCCCAGCAATGCAGTGCCAATGATCTGAGTTGAGACACTGGGGACTTTCCTGAGTAAAAGTGTGCAGTCAGCTGTAGAGTGGTGTGTTCACTGTTCTGATTTTGCTTTGCTAATTTTTAGAAAATAAACTCCAGTGAGGAATCCCCTCATATTAATTACTTCATCTCCAAGTGAGAGAGCATGGTGGATTGGCCAGATAGGAACAGGAGTCAGGTTTGTAAGAAATGTAGTTGAAATATTTTGAAACTGGTCTTAGTGTATTTGAAATGGGCTAACACTAAATGAGATGAAGCATAAATATTTGGTGTGAGGCTTGAGGAAGGACATTTCATTTTACTGTTTTGGAAAACTGAGAGAAGCAATTCCTAGTTAGGGCCTGTGGTTTTCCTCTTTAACATGACTTAGAAGACACCTGTAGATGAGAAAGGTCACTGCAGTTCCATCCACACAGGGAGTAAAATGGCCTCCCATGCTCCTCCAAAGTCCCTAGTCTGGGCAATATTAGAAAAAACCATTGATGTGGGCTTCCTGGATTTCTGAAGAAGATGCACTGCATAAAAATAAAAATAGACTGTGAGCAGACACTGTGGGAGACAGCTTTCATTGTTACCACAGTAAGAATGATTAATGGGGCACATGTTACCAGGAGACCAATCATATAGACCAGGCATTCTCATCAACATCTGCCCTGACCAAACCTTTCTCTTTCAGCGGAACCAAAGCCAGAGGTGCACCCATGTCCCTCCTGCTCTCTGGCCTCCTCCAGTCAGAAATTCCTCAGCCAACATGTGAAACTCAATCATCCCTCTCAAATTCTCCCCGGATCATCTTCAAGAAAACAGGTCCAAGCAGAGGAACCCTGCCCAGAGGATCAGAATCAGCAGCACCAATGTACTAATACACACGGCTGGAATGATAAAACTGAAGGTCAAGAAATCAAAGAAAGGTCCAAACTTTTGCTTAAAAGGATCAGTCAGGGGAGAATCTCAAGATCCTTTTTCCAACCTTCCAAAGAACAAATTAGGAGCTCTACTCAGCATGAGATAGTGATGGAGGAGGAACCCTATAGAGGCCATAAAGAGAGTCCAGAGGGCACAGGCAAGTTATTCGTGAAAGTAGGAATGTCAAGAATTATACCAATCAAGTATGGAAAGTGTTGGAAAGGCTTCAATGATGGGTCACATCTCCTTAGAGACCAGAGGTCACACTCAGGGAAGAAGCCCTATGTTTGCAGGGAGTGCGGGCGAATCTTTACCTGGAAGTCACATCTCATCAGACACCACAGGTCACACTCAGGGGAGAAGCCCTATGTTTGCAGGGAGTGTGGGCGAGGCTTTACATACAAGTCATCTCTCATCAGACACCAGAGAACACACTTGGGAGAAGCCCTATGTTTGCAGGTGGACTGAGTGAGTCATTGGCATTAAGTAGCATATCAACAGCCATAGGAAGTCTAGGGTCCCTTAGTCTCCCAAGATTATAATTAGTACAGAAGTAACTGGTTAAACAAACCCTCCATTTTCATGATGAGATGAGATGGACAAACAGTTCCACGAGTGATGTGGGAATGTCAGCACCAGCCTCCTTCATGGTTTTTTGACGTCCTATTTCAACAAGTTTTGTCTCCATACAAATATGAAGCCCATATTCCACATTCCCACATCACTGAAAGGAGAGAGTTCTGGAAGAGCCACAAAAAAACTCACTCTCAGCCACAGAAATTCGACTCCTGCAAATGCATGAGTCTTTAGCCAGTCTAGTTTGGTTCCTGCCCAGGGAGAGGGAATTGAGACAGACTCACCAGGGAAGGGAATTCCCCAGACTCCTGGGGGGTGGGGGCTTTTCTGCAAATAGGCTCCCAACCCTCCTCCCTTGGCTTCTCTTGGCTTTTCTAGTTTCCTACAACCTCTGGAGCCTCAGAGGTGACCAGCAGGCAGGGATATATCCTTGTGCACGGACATGAGCCTGGCTCATTCTGGGCACCTGTTCTTCCTCACTCCATGCTGCTTCTTCAGGGTCAGCATTTCCTGCTGCAAAGCACACACATTCCACATCAGTCCATAGTGGGTATTAGTCTCAGCTCTGTCTTCTCCAGCTGTGTGACCTAAGGCAAGATTCTCAACTTCTCTCTGCCTGCTTCCTAGTCTGTGCAATGGAAATGGGAACTCCGCCTTTCGGTTTGACATTCAAAGTTGAGTCAGCACAGACAGACTCTGACAAGAGGATCGCTGAGATTACAAGTCCTGCTGAACAGCCTTCAGTGCCTGTCTTCTGCAGCTTTAGTGCTGGACAGAGGAAGATAAGGACAGGGTAGGGATCTGCAGCCAAATTCAGAACAGGAGCAGACCCCACTGCTTTCCCTACATAGACTCAGCTGCCCTGAGAAGGAGGCCAGAGGGGTGATGTGCTTCCCTCCAGGTCGCCACCCTGCTACTAACCCTGCACACCCTCATAACCTCAGCACAGACAGGTGGGACTGAGAGTGACCTGTGAAACAAGACCCTTGGCTACTTTTTGCTGAGAACTGACACAGGCTGGGAACAGCCTCTGCCTGCACTGGTGTGTTAGGTGGGATAGATGGTAATCCAAGGCAGGGAGGACGAGGAAGATATGTATCACCCACTAAGGAGTCCTAAGCCTGGTCCAAGTCTATCATCAGATGGTCCAACATCACAAGAAACACCATGCTAATGTGTTGAAATTCTAGGTATCATTTCTAATATCTGGCCAAGAAAAGCTTTGAAACTATTTCAAGCCCTAGAAGATGGAGGGAGTCCATAGCACTCAAGGTAAGGATCCATAAAACAAATTTGGCTAATTGGCTCTGGCCAGTGTCTGTTTTATGAGAGGGTCCCTAGTGCTTACAGAAAGAGCCCATAGGTAACTTTGGATAATTACTTCAACTTTAACTCTCCTGTCACGTATCTCTTTTACAAAATAACCAACTGAGGTCTGAAGCGAGATATGGATTCAGCTAACAACCCCCATACATACCCACGTCCCCCATGTAAGCCAGCACCACTTTTACCCATCAATCAATATGTAACTTCTTCACCCCCATCCCAACTATATGTCCTCAGGACAAAGGACCTGGTGCCCTTGCCACCCAAGCTCTTGCCTTTCACCCCATCTCAGAAGACCTGTCCTCTTCCATGAGAATGTGTCACTAATAAACCTTGTTTACACACTAATACACGTGCTGATTTGTAATCCTTTACTGCATTGGCAAGAAGAACTGAGTTTCTTCTGTGACAGGTGCACCCAATCTGCATGTGGTAATTCGTGAAGCTCACAAGGCAGCAGCTACTATAATGCACTTTCCTTGTACCTGGGTCCCACAGGGCTTCATACACCACTAACACCATCCCAAAATTATTACTTATTGTATCTCTAAACTTGTTTGTGAAGTCTGATGGGATAATGGACATGCACAATGTTGGTCATTCTTGGCCACCCATTCACAGATAATGTCCATAATGGCCCAAGAGCATGAAATTCATATGGACCCAATGGGTGGGAGTCCAGTGAGACTCAAGGTGAGAACAGGGTAAACATCTACATCTGCATAAGCAAGGGTGCTAACAGCTCCCAGAGGTCACACTTCTTAAAACCAGAGCAGGATTCAATACAGAGAGATGGTCCATTAGTGCGGACACCATCATAAACTCTCCTGCATGAGGGAAACCTAAACATGACCCACCCTGTTCCTGCTGGGGAGGGTTCACAAAAGGGGGACACCCACCCTCATGAACTGGAACAATGACCTTTCTGTCCTCCCAGTGCCAAGCTTGTAAAAAGTGTCTACATAAACTACGTGGATTTCAATAAGAAATATCCACTATTATTTTCTTTTTAATGACTTTTAAGAGGAAGCTGTGTGTCTTTCTTGGGTTTTGGTTCCCTTCCCTGTTTCTCACCCTACCAGCAAAGCCCAGAGAGAACACCATAAGCTCAATATTCTGTGGCTTTCAGCATGGGCCATGGGGGAGGGCCAGAGTCCTGCTGTAATGTTGGCAGAGGGGCTGGCACTGAAATACAGTGGGGAGGGGAACCCACAGACTGCCAGGTGAGGGTCACCACCACCCGCACGAGAACAGACCCTGGAGCTCTCCCAGAAGGCTTAGTGATTCAAGACAAATAGACAGGTCTGTTCCCTCTCCCTCTCAGCAGAAAACCACATTCCTAGTATAGCTGTCAGCCTCCAAGGTGTCCCCCAAATCCACACGCTATCACCCCTGACCTTGTACAGTCCCTCCACACAACCAAGCTGATCTGTGTTGTGAAAATGGCGTGTGGCTCTCAAAGCTAAGTCATAAACAGGCCCTTTTGTTTCAGCCTTACTTGCATAGTTCACACTGTCAAAGAGCACCTTGTGCAGGGAGCTGGGTGTTTACACACCCCTCCCTCCCACCTGCCAGGGGCTGGTAGCATCCATCCTTGTTTTGAAGTGGAGGCTCCAAGGTGTGAGTATAGCCTGACATCTGCTGGATTCCGCATCTCTTGTCCTTGACAGGCAGCTGAAGTCACTGTCCTGTCCCTGTAACAGCTGGTGGGCCTCCAAGGCCACTGCAACTGCACCTGCTGGCTTCCCAACTCCTTTACATGACACTGTGATAGACCTGGAATGGGCAGGTGAATAGCCCTTGCACAAAAATGATACCAGTTACTGAGGTAACAAGACTGTGTGGCCACCTGCCTCCATCACACACTTGACTCTGTGACTACAGTGGCCACTGCAGCTATGGCCAGCCCAATCTGGTTTATGATCTTATTGTCTGCCACCCAGGTAAGGGAGCTGCAGGTTGGCTTGGGGCCATAGCTGAGCAGGTGAGGGGGTCCCTGGACAGAATGGTCAGCCACAAATACTGAACAACTCACTGACCTCCACAGCTGGGGGCAGGTAAGCCCTTCTGAAATTTGCAGATTTGTCTTGTCACCCAGACCCTGCACTGTCTGTTCTTGATCTGGCCCCAGGTCTGGCCCCAGTCCTAATTGCCCCGGACAGTGTCTGACAAGCCTCTGAGAGCCACTCTTGGGGATGTATGTCACCCACAGATGCTGTCTTCAAAGATCAGACTTCTTAAAAGTTACTTTAAAAGGCCTTTATAAAAATAATTTTTAAAGTAAGAGATAGTTAAGCTCATCACTCTGAGAAAACTCCTGTAACATTTTGAAATTTGCACTTTAAGAAAAAATTTGCATTTTCTTTTACAGACTCTCATAATTAATGGGGACATTATTGTGTTTTGTTTTCTTTTCAAATATTTTAAAATATATTTTATTGATTATACCATTATAGTTGTCCTATTCCCCCCTTCATTCCCCTCCACCCTGCACAAGCACCATCCCCCCTTTCGTTTATGTCCATGTGTCACAAGTTCTTTAGATTCTATATTTCCCATACTATTCTTGCCCTCCCACTGGTCTATTTTCTACCTACCATCTATGCTCTTTATTCTCTGCACCTTGTACACGCTTTTCCTCCTCCCACTCCCCTGTTGCTAACCCTCCATGTGATCTCCATTTCTATTGTTCTGCTCCTGATCTAGCTGTCTTCTTAGTTAGCTTTTGTTTTACCTGTGGTTGTTAATAACTGATTGCTGTCCTTTCACTGTTCATATTTTTTATCTTCTTGTCTCAGATAAGTCTCTGTAACATTTTATATAATAAGGGTGTGGTGATGATGAACTCCTTGAATTTGACCTTATCTGAGAGGCACTTTATCTGTCCTTCCATTCTAAATGAAAGCTTTGCTGTATAGAGAAATCTTGGTTGTAGGTCTTTGGTTTCCATGACTTGGAATACTTCTTGCCTCTAAGGTTTCTTTTGAAAAATCTGCTGACAGACTGATGGGAACTCCTTTGTAGGAGACTGTCCCCTTAGCTCTTGCTGCTTCTAGGATTCTCTCCTTCATTTTAATCTTGGCTAATATAATTATGATGTGATTTAGTGTGTTCCTTCTTGGGTCCAACTTGTTTGGGACTCTCTGAGCTTCCTGGATTTCCTGGAAGCCTATTACCTTTGCCAGGATGTGTAAGTTCTCTTTTACTATTTGTTCATATAAGGTTTCCACTCGTGACTGTTCCTCTTCCCCTTCCCCATCTGTTACTCCTATAATATGGATGTTGGAGCATTTAAAGATGTCCTGGAGTTCCTAAGCCTCTCCTCATTTTTTTGAATTCTTGCTTCTTCACTCTTTTCTCTTTGGCCATTTTTTTTCTTCCTTCTGGTCTTCTCCCTTGATTTGAGTCCCAGTTTCCTTTCCATTACTTTTGGATTCCTGTGCATTTCCATTCATTTCAATTAGTTTAGCCCTCATATGTTTTTCTAATTTGTGTCCAAAATCAAGCAGTTCTGTGAGCATCCTGATCACCAGTGTTTTAAACTGTGCGTCTCAGGGTTTTTCTAT